ACTGTGCGTAAAGCAAGGTGTTTGAGGCGTGCATGCCACTATGAAACTGAAGCTTTTTCGCTAAGGTAAGAAGCTGGACTGGTGGATGGAGAAGTGAGGGTACGCAGAGGATAAAGGCCATTTTTACTCAATCCTTGAAGAAGGATAGTGCTCAAGGATGGATCCTTGACATGGAAAAAAGAAAGGTGAGATTCAAAATATATGTTATTATCATTTGTGAATTGATGAATTGACAATGAGTTCTTTTTATTTCAAGAGCATGTAAGATGTTCTTAAGAAAGAAAGATTTGGAAGTAGAATAAAAAAGAGAATAACCAATGTGAAGAATTTTCAAACCTTATCCATTGCCCACTTGAATTTGAACAGGTCCAATGTAAAGGTTGGCATTGAGTGAAAGGTTGCTGAGATTGGAGGTAATGTGATTAGTGGCACCAGTGTCAAGGTACCAGTTTTGATCATAGAGGGATGCAGGAGAGTGGACTGTGTTTGCTTGAGAAGTGGATGGAAAAGAAGAGTGATATTGCTGGTTAAATCGATACCAATAATTTGATGTTGTATGGCCTATTTTGGAGAAGATCTAACATTAAGGTCTGTTGAAGCACGACTGTTGTTGAGGGAAGAAATTTTGGATTCCACACCCCTGTCTCTAGACCAATTACCATGGTGAGAGCCACCTTTATATAAAGGCAGACCATGATGACCCCGATTGGGATAGGAGGTGACAATGTTAGTCGTAGGTAGGTTGAATTCAGTGTAGGTGTTTTATTGGTTAAGATGATTTTCATGAGTGAGGAGGCAGTTATATAAGTCATCAAGGGAGCTAGGTTTGATTCTGGTGATAATAGAGGTGACAAGAAAGTCATAGGAGGGGGGAGACCAACAAGAAGATATGAGATGATTTCTAAGAAACCAAGAGGATGACTAATGGTAGAGAGAGTATCTGACAGTTGTTTGACTTTTATGAAGTAATCAGTGATTATTAGGGAAGCCTTTTTAAAGATAAAGAGTTGGAAACATGTGTTAAGAATATAGGCAGATAAGGTACAAGAGAATGCTTTATCTAATGCAAGCCAGACATCTCGTGAAGATGTGAGACCCACAACTTGTGTGAGAAGGGATTCGGTGAGGGAAAAGAGGAAGGGGCATTGAGAATGAGTTGATCTTATTAGGACTAGTGAATGTATTCAGGATTAGGAATATGAGTAGAGGAGCAAGGAATTGTGATACGTGGGTAGGGGGCAGAGTCATTTAGGTAACAAAAAAAATTTTGACCATAAAGGTATAGGATTAGCTGAGCTCGCCAAAGAAGATAATTATCTTGGTGAGTTTAATTGTGATAAAATGATGGAGTTGGGTAGGGAGAATAGAACTGACAAAACCAGAAGAAGAAGAATTGTTGAAGGCCATGAGAGATGTTTGTCTTTGTAAGCTTTAATCAGGTTGCCCAACGTCATCTCTAGGTTCGGTTCATCTCCAGTACAGATCAGATCGTTGATTCATTCACAAAGGCACTCCCAACTACACGGTTTCACAATCTCCACAGCAATCTCAATGTTCACGGGCTTTTATTGTGATTGAGGGGGTGTAATGGTGCAACTAAATCTTAAAAATGGATAAACCTCACATATTAGATAAAGCTCAAGATAATAGCACAACCGAATCTCAACAAATAGATAAAGCTCAAATTCAAAACAACCGAGAAGAAGAAGATCATGTTCAAGAAAGCAAAATAAGAAAATAACAAACTCTCTGTAAATTCAAATATTTTTAAATGTATCTTGTAACAAAGTTGTTCTTATCCAAAAACATCTACAAATAAAACAACATGTGATCCTCCAAAATAAATAAAGCTCAAGATAATGGCACAACTGAATCTCAACAAACAGATAAAGTTCAAATTCAAAACAACCGAGAAGAAGAAGATTATGTTCAAAGAAGCAAAATTAAGAAATAACAAACTCTCTGTAAATTCAAATATTTTCAAATACATCTTGTAACAAAGTTGTTCTTATCTAAAAACATCTATAAATAAAATAGCATATGATCCTCCAAAATAAATTGAGGAAAATATGTCCACTATTCACCTCTATTCTTATTCTTTTTAGTGACATAATCAACTTAACAAATCCAAAAATAATTCAGATGACTAAGAAAAATATAGTTTAATTTAAAAAAATCAAATGATTTTTTTATATACATTATTGAAATAACAAGATATTAAATCGACTCAGATCAAATTAGGTTAACTTGTTACATTTGCTATCCAGGTCATGAGACCGTAATAACTTTTTAAAAAGCAAATAAAAAAATATTCAACCAAACTCAAAATCAACCTAATACTAAATGATAAAATCAAATAAAAAATAAAAATAAAGACTCAAGTCAACCTAAATTAACTCAAAATTAAAAAATAATTTAAATCAACCAAATTAACTTTTAATGGCTAAGGCGCCGTTTGGGAACATGGTGCAAACCACGTTCCACAAAAATTCAATTTTTTTTTGTTAAAAATTATTTTTTTAATGTTTTGAATCTTTTTGATGTACTGATCTCAAAAATAATTTTAAAAAAATATTATTTTATTACATTTCGACATGAAAAGCAAGTACACTCTCAAAAAGGCCTTTATCCACGATATATTTCATGAAATTGTGATAATTATTGCTCTGGCATTCAGTCTATTTTATTTCTTGGGCTGAGGTGAGAGAGATGATAAACTAGATTTCCCTGGTCAAAACAAATCAAGATGATGCACCACGTTTCTCATTTGTTAAGTGTTTTAGCTTCAAAAACTCTTGGCCAAAAGCTGGCAGTCTTTGTGCGTTTAATGATGTTATCTTTTTATTTTATTTTGTTGTCTTTGCAGGTATCTATTGAAGCCTCCTAGGGATCTTCTTCCATGGGTGAAATTGCAGGTTGTGTCACCGGGTGCCATTAGGGCACCAATGCTGCGAAACCATCTTAATTGAATTTTTTTGTATTAAAATTGATTTATTTTGTGACTGTGATATGGTTCGCCAAAACCTTTTTTTTTTTGTTTTTGTAATGACTTTCTCTCTTCAATCCTTGAATCATGATAAAAATCATGTCTTAAAACGGAAAAAAAAAATACAAAGATCAAATATACTGAAAAGAAAAACTTTAAGACCAAACTCTGTTTTCCCTGCAATAAAAGGAGCGTATGTTTTTGTTTGTAGTGTAATTCTAATGACACGCGCCCCTACTTTTCTGGTAGTTATGATGTGATTATTGATCCGGTTAAGAATTGGATTTCAAATTATACAAGTTAATTGAAAAAAATTAAAAAATATATTTAAAATTTTAATATATTATATAAAAAAATTAAAAAATAATACATGTAAATATAAAATATACATGTTATAAATAATAAAGTTTACAAAATTATTTTAAAAGATTTTTTATTCTACATTAAAAAAATATTGTGCTAATATATTATCCTTTTTATGTTGAAGTATTTAAACTAAAAGGATTTTTTATTTTATATTAAAAAAATATTTTTTTCTTGAGAACATAGAATATATAAACTAAAAAGTTTCAAATCCCGTATTAAAAAAATAAAATATTCTTCTAGTATTTATATAGTAAATTTTGAAAAGGTTAATAATTATCTAAAAAATATTAAAAAAAAAAGATTTTTAACTAGGAGAAAAAACATATTTGAAAAGAAAAAAAGGAGTTTCAACTAAGTTTTGTTGGGTCATCCAAGTAACAAGTTAACTTGGTAGGTCAACCAGATTATGCATAACTTTTGCTTATCCTGGTCTTTTGTCTTACTTGGATTGGTTCAACCACTAGATCAATCAGATCCTGGGTTGACATATTAAGCTGATTTAAATTTAATAAATATAATTTTTCCTTAAAGCATTAGTAGAATGTCTATGGATTTTTAAATTATAGATAATAATTTAAATCAATATTGTCATTCCAGATAAAAAAAAACAAAAAAAAAAAAAGAAGAATAAGAAGAAGAAAAAGTTGATGGTATGAGGGCATGAGACTTGCTCTGGGATTAGAGGAATATTGATGTATGGTATGTTTGGTATTGTATTAAAAAATTTTATTATAATTTAAAAATAAGAGGTTTAAAAAAAATATTTTTAATTGTAGTTTTTCAAAAAAATAAATATTTAATTAAGTATTGTGGTTAAATTATGTTTTTAAAAAAAATAATTTTTTTCTAGCTTCAAAATATTTTTTTTATTTTTTTAATATATTAATATTAATATATTTTCAAATTTTTTTCTAGCTTCAAAATATTTTTTTATTTTTTTAATATATTAATATCAAAAATAAAAAAATTTAATATATTTTCAAATAAAAAACATTTAAAAATAATATTTACCATACTCTCAAACATTTTCTAACCAAATAGTTTTTTATCAGTGTTTCGGGACCTGTCACAAATAAACTATATAAATAGGTTAGTATATGCTTGTATGAACCAATAAAATAGAATTAAGCCTAAAAAGAGATGTGTTCTAATCAGTACAGTGGCTAAAAAATACATTTATATCAATTTTGTAATTGAGTTTAACCAATGAGTGGTCCATGTTTCATAGTAAAAGAAGGATTGGATTCCTAGTTTCCTACCCTAACTTAATTCATTGCAATAAACCTCAAGAGTAATTTATGATCAACTCAATTTTAGAAGTGGAATCGACAAAAGAAACAGAGGAAAACACGAAACAAGACAAGGGATCTCCATCTTTGAAGTGGAAATCAGTCCCAGAGTCGAAAGTGAGAGGAGTGGATTTTGCTCTTTCCGAGATGAAAAAATGGTTTCAATTTCTTCCTGAATCTGATCCTTTGCTTGACTGTTAAATTTGAATCGATTCCAATGGCCTGTATGCTTGAACCACAGGTGGCATCCCCTTAACAGGAACAGATGGATACCAGTACCAGTTCGACAAGAAACGCATCACTTTCCTGGGCTTACAAATAAGAACCTGTAAGCTCACATGAGTTCATAATAAACTCACTTTCCATCCTTTTCTTGGCACTTCATATTTTCCCATCTCCCAGACTCCTCCCTTGTGAGTAACTGCAACATGAAGGTATCATTGTCTCCCAAGGTCAGAAAACGTATGGAGGGTCTCAGACATCTTCAGGTTGGTCTATATATCCATCTACATTCCACAACAAACATTGTGCTGTTCATCAGCTTATGTTATTTTATTGCCCAGTTTACAACATTCTTGTTAATGTTTATTACATGTATACATGATCATGGTACGCTTAATTATATATGTGCTCATTGATGTCTTCTGCAGAGCCAACATGATGAGCTGGAGGCACAGTTTCTTGAGGAGAGAAAGGCATTAGAAGCTAAATACCAGAAGCTTTATCAACCGCTCTACACTGAGGTATATATTGTCTTGCATTATTACTTCCGCATGTGTTCCATGAATGCTGGATCAGAGGTAGCATGCATTACAATTTTTGTTTTGTATTTCTGCACTTAATTTAAGCTTTTCATGGACACTCGGCGCAGAGATTTGAGATTGTGAACGGTCAAGAAGAAGTTGAAGGGGCTGCAGAAGGTATTAGTGAATATTTTGAAGAGTAAAAGTCGTTTTCGGCAAACATACATGGTGTATTTGAAAGCAATGCCCTGCCTTGAACTTAAAGAGTGTAGTACTTCTTTAATGCAGAGAAGGGGGTGCCTGAATTCTGGCTCGCTGCAATGAAAACTCACGAAGTACTAGCAGCGGAGGTATTTATGCAAGGATCGTACAAACACGTGATACTTCTTCCTGTTGGATTGATCATTGTGTAACCTGATTTATCAATCGATTCTTGCAATAGATTAAGGGACGAGATGAAGGAGCTCTGAAGTTCATTAACGATATCAAGTGGTCGAGACTTCAAGATCATGAGGGTTTCAAGCTGGAGTTTTACTTCAATCCTAATCCTTACTTCAAAAATTCTGTCCTGACAAAGACCTATCTCATAATTGATGAACTTGATCCTATTTTGAGCCAAGCAATTGGGTAGCTATTTATACAAATGTTGTCGTGTTGAGAATCTTTAATCTCTTCCTTTTTAATTTTCCTTTTTGTAATGTTTCGTTCGGTTTTGTAGGACGGAAATTGAATGGTATCCTGGGAAATGCTTGACGAAGAAGGTGATTGTGAAGAAGAAACCAAGAAGGGGGTCAAAGATGGCCAAAACCATCACAAAAATTAAGAAGAGTGAAATTTTCTTCCCTTTCTTTCCTCCCCCTCGGATCCCTGTGAACGAGGATGGCCGAGATGATGATGCTGTAAGTTCTGCTTCGTTATGTACAAGGAAAGCAATGTAACTGTTGATATGTTAACTGATGTCTTAGTCTCTTGTGTTCACAGTATGATGAACTTCAGGACATGATAGAACTGGACTACATTGTAGGGTAAGTCCCACATTATTTCTGTGAACTTCTCTTGATTTCATCTGTGCATCTCTGTCCTTTCGTTAAGTTTTTGCCTGTGGTAGTATGATTATTCGGGACAAAACCATTCCTCATGCTGTGTCATGGTTTACTGGAGAGGCTACCAAGGACCATGAGGCTGAGAAGGAAGAGGAAAGAAAAGAAGGCGTGAAGGAGGACGTCAATGAGGACCGCGATGAGGAAAAAGAAAGGGCCCTGAAGAAGGGCGTCGAAGATGAAAGAAAAGAAGGCATGGAGGACGTCACTGAAGACCATACTGAGGAAGAGGGGGAAAAGGGGGCCCCAAAGAAGGACGTCGAAGAGGAAGAGGAAAAAAACCAGGTCGAGAAGAAGGTGAAAGACACCAATATGATAAATTCGGACTCTCTTCTGTATATATATTTTCCCTATCGTATGCATGTTTGTTCAGACTTCCATATTTTTGAAGATGCTAACATGTTCTTCCGCTGTTTCTTTGCAATGTTGCTTCCGTCATCCGATGAAAGTTCGTTATTTTGAACTTTTAATGCTATCTGTTTGTTCTGTGTATTAATTTCAGTCTGATTTGTTTATATCAACTGCAGAAGAATGGAGGAGCACAAATCCAGGAAACTCAGAAAGAGCAGCTCCCTCCTGAGTGCAGGCAACTGTAGTGCTGGGACACACTTGCGCACAAATAACAGGAGCAGCTTAAAGATTGTAGCACCAACAGTCCCGGTTGATGAGCAAATAAATATATCACTTAGTTATTTTTATTTTTTATTTTTCATTTTAGGGATTTTTATTTTTTCCAATTTTTATATTAAAGTTTCTTACAATGTACTTTTTAATTTTATCACTTAAATCAATTAAAAGTTCGTAGTTTTATTAAGAAACGTATATCTAATCAATTAAAATACCGTAATTAAAGGTATATTTATTTTTATAAATAAAACTAGGAAGGAAAGAAAAAAGAAGGAAATTATCTCCATACTAGATCAATCTTTATCCAAACCTCTTCAATTATTTAAAATTTTATGATAATATAATAGTGGTGATATTTTTTTAATTGAATATGAATTGAAAATTAAATAAAATATATTATATACACATATCCTAAAATGATTTTTTAGTACTATATCTTAATTATTTTCAATTAATATCAAATGATAAATAAGCATGATAAATAAGTGTAATATAAAATGTGTTTTGAGTTGTTTGTATTCAAACTTCAAATTAAAAAGCATATTTCACAAGTAGAGATGATCATTTTTTATTTGGTTTGATTTTATTTTATAAAAATAATTAAATTAATTTTTTTCAATTAAAAAAGTATTTGAAACCGAACTAAAACCGATTCAAACCGATTAATTTCAGTTTGGTTTCACTATTTTTCATTAAAAAGGGGCAAAAACTTGTATTGTGTTTTGGGCTTAATGCCATGTAATATTTCATTACAAGGATTGCATAATCTTCTGTAGAATGGTTTAGAATGCTTAATGTCTTGTCACTCTCATTAACAGCAAAAATGGAGTTTTAAAAGCAAATAGTATTTGGCACCCAGAGTGAAAGAAGCAGTAGCAGCTTGTTAGAGCATCTGATTGAACTGTTTTTAGAGAAAAGATGAACGTTAAGAGATTGGTCCATAATCAACAAAGGCTTATGTACGAGCAGCCCAACACTTCTCCAAGCCTTGTTGAAGATCTACCAATCTGCAAGATGAAGATTGAAAACTTGTTAGACGATTATAAGCGTATTTGTTGCGTTTATGTTTTGTTTAAAATATATACACAACAACATTTAATAACCTAAAAAAACATAAAATATTATTTATGAATCTCATCAAATTATACATTTGAAATGCTAGAAAACAAAAGCAAACTACTATATGCTTCTTACGGCTGCACTACTGTTCATTAAACAATGCAGCATCCCTCAATAAAGATATTGTTCACTTAACAGTGTTTTTTGTTTTATATTAATTTATAATTTTAAAAAAAAATCAATATAATTAATTGATTTCACTCGCACTGTTCATGTAAATATAAATGATAATTTTTATTTTTAAAAAAAGTTAGTTAAAAGTGAATTAAATTTATTCGTATTGTAATCTTAATTTTATTCCTGATAATATTTTATTTAATTTTATTGCATAATATTTGACCTAATTTTATTACATGCTCAAAAAATCATGAAAACTATAGTTCTTGTCGAATGAATTTTGTATGTAATAGAATTGTAAATAGTTTAATGGAATAATAAAAAAATTTATATAAAATATGATTTATTTCATGATAAAATAGCAATAATTAAATCTATAATATTTAAATTAAAAACCATAAATATTATAATATATTTTTAAAAATTATTTTATAACCTCAATTTCAAAAGCATTTGTAACCAAACACATTAAACTACTTTTTGTTCAACCTCATTTTCAATCACAGTTTTAACCAAACATATATTTTTTCTAAACCAATCTTAACTAAAAACACTTTTTATAAAAATAATTTTTTTCAAACCATAATCATAATAGCTACTGCAATACCAAACACACTCTATATCTAGCCATGAAGGATAGAAAAATCATTTTTTATCAGGATGAGAGTGTGAGAGATTAAGAAATGAGAGTGAGAGTTTTAAGATTTGAGATTTATAAGGGCTGGGAGCCAGTTTGTGAGGGCTGAGGGGTAAGGGGTAAGAAAATGCTAGGGTTAAAAATTATAAAGTGTATTTATAGTATTTTTTTAACTGAATTATTTTAGTTTGGTTTTTTTTTGTTTTAGATTTATTAAATCAAAAACAAAACAAACTGAAAATTTTAAAAAAGATTCTAATTGGTTTTTTTATGGTTCGATTTTTTTGGTTATTTTTTTTATTTTTTCGGTTTAATCGGTTTTTTAGTTTTTTTGCACACCTCTATTCACAAGTATGGAATTTATTACTGTTTCTTATTTGAATACAAGAGAATATGAATACATAAGATTATATTAATTACCATAATATTTCGATAAAATCTCCAATACAAAATATTAATATGGTAAAAGATTTATTTTTTTACAAATAATTGAATCATACTAAGCATTTCAATGATATTGTTAAATAATATAGTTAAAATAAAAGTCATAAAATTATGAAAAAAACACATGCATATATAACTTTATATTTGTTAACTTTGACAGTGAGAAAAGTAAAATTCATTTTAATAGATAAAATAAATTGAAGATGATAACCTAGGTTTACTTTGTTTAGTATGATTAAAAACAATTGATATCAAGCTCTTTCAATGACTATTTTTAGACTTTAGCATAATTAAAAAAAAACAGAGAACTAGTATAGTCTAGAAAATATCTAATTAAATAACATAATGGAGAGTTGTCGATGATATTTGTGTGTTGTTATGTGATTAAGGTAAGTAAAAACACCTAGGAGGGGAAGTGAATTAAATATGCAAGTAACGCTATAAATTAAAACTTTTTTTTCTAATAACATGTAATTTTAAATACTCAACTAAATATAAAAATATAAAAATATATAAATATAATAATTAAAAAATGAGAGTTTAGATAGATTTCATTAAGATTTATAAAAATTCAATAATCTATATTTATAAAAATTCAGTAATCTATTTGTTCAAGAGTTTCACTATCACAGAGATCAAACTATTACACGATTTTTTTTTATGAATACAAAATCAAACTCAATTATTTTACGGGTTAACTGTAATATAAAAAAAAGTCTACTATTTCAAACAAACACTTAGTGCCATACAAAATTTATTTATTTTGCATAACCAAATTCTTCTCATAGAAATAAAGTAAAGACGAAATGTTAAGTGAGAATATGCAAGTCATGAAAAGGAGTTCGAAACCATGTCTGCCTGCAAAAGGTGGCATGGTAAGAAAATTTGCGTGCCGCAAAAGATCCTGAAAAATTCCCAAAGGATTCACCTTGATGGTTAACATCTTGCTCTGAGGTGGCATGTCATTTAAGGACAAGTGAAGAGTTTGATTCCCTTGAACGTATGATGTAAACAAGCACACTTGCACCATGAACACAGACATCAATCCGAAATTAACAGATACATGGTTGGTGCAGTTTGCGTATATCTGGTATAAAGGTCCCTCATCAACGAAGAAGAAATGATAATTTCTAAACCAAAATGGTTCAAGCAGATTGAAGAGCCATGGTTGAAAAATTCTGGATTGGTTAATCTTGTTCCCCACTGCAAGTAAAAAAGCAAATGGAAAACTACAGAGTTTTCTCACACTAAAACAAAACAGCATTCATGACAATGCCTGTTCAACCTTTTTACCCTCCAAAAGCTTCAGCTCTTGGCGCCAGCCTTCCAATTTTGTCAACTTCTCCATTTGCTCTGGCTTCATTTCCTGTGACATAGTTTTCTGCTGCTGAGCTTCCACTAGTCGAATCTGGATATGGAAACAACAACCAAGCATACCAATCATTAGTCTCTACATCAGTTCCCACTCATTTATAGAACAGACCAGCTCAATTGAAGGCAAGAACTTAACAAAGTTGTATGAGCTTGAATCAGTTAAATTGTCATGATGTCCAACGTGTTTGAAGGATGCGTGGAATCACTAATGGCTGTTTAAGCAGGCCAGAACCTAGTACGCATGCCACAGCTCTATAAAGTAACTTTTTTGTTAACAGAACCCTAAAAATAAATTGTAGGTGAAAGTGAAACATTTTTTCTAAATAACTAAAAGCATTTCTATGAAATGTAACATAATTTGAAAGAGCTGGAAAAAAGGCTGACCAGTCAAAATGCTCTTTTATTATTATACCTTTTTCATTATTTTTTCACCTTGGTGCTTGAATTTTTTTCCAGGGTAAGAACATCTCAAGCTACCTCTGCTCCAGAACTAGTTCGGTTTCTAATGGCTTTGTTCCATGGAATATAGAGTCACCAAGTAAATATAAGCGTGTGCAGTGATTTGCTTACATCTATGAAGGACCCGGTATCAATCCCAAACTAGTTGGGGTCAGCCATATGAATCCTGTTGCCCTATTCCTAGTGATCGTATGGCAACTTTTGAACTCACATTTCTTGACTCCCTGTCTTGATGTAGATAAATCTCTGTTTTCCTACCTCTAATAAAGTTTTCAATGTTCTCTAAATAAATAACTAAATCCTACTCTTGTGTAAACTTCATATCTTCAAATTGTTAGTATATAATTAACAATGAAAAGACAAAAACATTGTTAGATCATGCAAAGGCAGTGCAGTTTATGGCCCCTTACAACCAAATCAAGTCTGCATCATGTTTAATGTATGAACCTATGCGGATACGAGAGATGATCTTGTTTCAGATTAACATCTATCATACAACATAATTTACCATGTTTTCCTCCAAAATAAATTAAGAGAGAGAGAGAGAGAGAGGGAGGGAGGGAGAATGACCACCATATGTTTGCAACTAAAATCATCAAACCTTTGTGGCAAGTCCATATACTTATCTCTTTTGTATGAAAGATTAAAGCAACAAAATCTTACATCCTTGCACAAAATCAAATGCTAGAAACCTTCTATGTACAGAAAATGAATACTCATGTGTGATAGAGTTTATAGTCTTGTTATCTAAACTGAGGAGGAAACTTGTGATTTCTTGAAGGAACTCGAGAAATACATGAATAGGATTTATTTTTAGGAGATATTATGTAAAACATTAAACAAAGCTATAAATATCTATACAGATCATGCCCTCTGTCTCCAAAACTTGAAATTGAAGTAGTTATTAATTCAGAAGGGAAATAGAAAACCAGTACAAAGTCAAATTTATACT